AAAGCAAATTAAGCATATACAACTTTTTCATGCCAAGTATGAATAAATTCTAAAAAGGGCTAACAAAAAGGGCTAGGGGCAATTTTAAATTTATGTGGCCAAAAAAGTATGTGGTAGCTAAATCTAGGCAACAAAGGGTTAAAACGGCAACACTGAATGCAAGTCTCGACTAAATTATGTGGGCAAACATAATGAGCTTGCTTTGCTCTGGGTGCCAGGTAAGGTTGCCAGACGTACCCCATTGGAAGGGACATACTCCATTTTGAGTTTTTGTCCCCCTTTCAACGGAAGATTGCGTAGGGCCCCCATTTTCGAACAAAGTCATTCACTTGCCGCTTAAAGCATGCGTGCATTCCGAAACGTCAAAATAAAAAGCATCAGTCTCTTTTATTTCTAAACCTCTGTAGATTGTTATGTCAAATGTGCGCAATCTTGGTTAGATGCTACTTTTCTACTAGTTGCGCAAGTTAGACTGTTTCTTCTAGTGCGGAATGCACCCCATGTTTGCATTCTTTAACTTTCACAGGCGATTAGTTGAATCAAAAGTTGAACGAAAAGTACAATTTTTATTTAAAAATATTCTCCTGCCATATTTAAGGCAGAATATGTATACATATATACTAGAGCTCTTGTTAATCGACTAACCGATTAATCGGTTAATCGAATGGAAAAAGTTGTTTCAAAAAATAATCGAATACCTTTAATCGATTAACCGCTCTCTTCGACTAACCGTTCATAATCGACTAGTTGTTTTCATTCGATTACTTGACAGATTCGACTATTCGAATAGTAGTTTTCTTTCAATATTTCATAAGTTTTGCGGTTGATATGCTTTGAATATTTATTGTACCAAAAATGGTGTGGCACCGCATGAATTATGATGGAGATGAATACGTGACTTATAGCAAAATTCAAAGTGCATCCATCACCTTCATAAACTCATGGAATCCAGGCACGAGAAATAGTCTCTTGGCGCTCGTTTGAAATAGTTTCGCCATCTTCGTTTTTTCT